TATATATATATATATATATATTGTGTATGTATAATATTAATTTATCTTTTAAATTATTAAAGAAATAAAAGAAACGCATAGGACATACCCTGTAGGAATTGCTCCGACGACAGGGACGTTGTAGTCAGCATTTAAACTTAAGAAATGCGACACCACGGTTCCAGCAACAACCTACGTCAACAACAAATGCAATCACATATCACAATATCTCGCTTCCGAAAATTAAGCATTTTCTATAATATATGTAAAACAGGTTCTGTAAGCTCGTATAAATGTGAGAATTTCCAGCCTTAAAAAGTAAAACGCGTATACATTTCAAGTAATACTTCTAAAGTAAAATTACTCTTTCTACCAACAAATAGGGCTACTAACGGCAGAGGCAAGAGCACAAAGATGCACCCAAAATTAAAAAAAAAAAGGAAACTGCCCAGAAATTTTTTTTTAGATTTAACCATCTTTCGATTCTTATCGCACCAAAAAAATCTAAAGTACAACTTACAACGATGAGATCAATAGGAATAGGAATCTTGAATTTTTTCCTGAATTTGGCATTGATAAAATCCTTGACGATCACCAACACTGCGATGACACACACAGACAGAGCCAATGATACAATGTTCGTCTTGTGGATGTTGTCGAATATCGAAATGTACAGCTGGATGTACAAACACGTATATTGTCAGTAAAAATATATATACAACCTAACGGTTATTTTAAGTTACACACAAACACATCTAAATAGTAACTTTTTTCTTGGTTGTTTTAATTATAGCTAACTTCAACTCTCCACGGTATACTCAATAGGTTATCGCTGCTGTGCCCACCACGGGTATAGAAACCCGGTTTTTAGCGTTATAAGTCTTCCCAATTACAGCTGAGCCACTGGACGCTTAAAATTATGTAGTGTATCAGCTAAACAAAAAATACAAGTAAGATTACAAAATAGTAAAAACACGTCATAGACTTCAGTGTATTCATAACAACATGTTGAACTTCAGTGTGTTTATGACGACATGTTGAATAACGTTTCTTCTTTAAATATCTGAAGATGTGTGTGTGTGAACTTTAAGAATAAGTGTATAATTTTTCTAACTTTTAGACACATGTTTTAGCTATTCCTGGGATTATAAGTATTACTAACTTTTAAGTGTTATAAGTTGGATGGACTAAAGATTTAGTTAAAATATACTAATAACATGCAACAGAAAATGATCAATAATGTGAAAAATAGTTTGAGTTAAAACTTTTCTGGCTGGTTAACCGATAACATTTGTCATCTAAATTATTTCATTCTTTTTTTTTTTTATGTTCCTGCTATAAATAAAGATCGTTTTTGTATCTATTCCTGATACTTACGTAGATAATCAATAATGTGAAAAATAGTTTGAGTTAAAACCTTTCTGGCTGGTTAACCGATAACATTTGTCATCTAAATTATTTCCTTCATTTTTTTTTTTATGTTCCTGCTATAAATAAAGATCGTTTTTGTATCTATTCCTGATACTTACGTAGATAATCAATAATGTGAAAAATAGTTTGAGTTAAAACCTTTCTGGCTGGTTAACCGATAACATTTGTCATCTAAATTATTTCATTCTTTTTTTTTTTTATGTTCCTGCTATAAATAAAGATCGTTTTTGTATCTATTCCTGATACTTACGTAGATAATCTTGAGTGGGCCACTAAAACGTGGCAGCTTAAGACTGAGAACGTATTGAATCTGACTGGTCACCACTTGAACAGCAGCTCCTGTTGTAAATCCACTGGCCAGTGGAGGAGACATCAATATACCAACTTTACCCAACCGTAATACACCCATCAGGGTCTGTTCAAGGGGGGGAAAAACAAGCTTTTATCTAGTTTCTGAATAATATTTTAAACGAAAATCAATATAACTCATTAAAACAGGGTTAAAAGGTGAATACAGCTTATTCGTCGTTGTTTATGTATCATGTTGAGCAAGTGAATACAGCTTATTCGTCGTTGTTTATGTATCATGTTGAGCAAGTGAATACAGCTTATTCGTCGTTGTTTATGTATCATGTTGAGCAAGTGAATACAGCTTATTCGTCGTTGTTTATGTATCATGTTGAGCAGGTGAATACAGCTTATTCGTCGTTGCTTATGTATCATGTTGAGCAGGTGAATACAGCTTATTCGTCAATGTTTATGTATTATGTTCAGCAGGTGAATACCGTTTATTTGTCGGTGTTTATGTATCGGCTGTACGAATCCTCAGTTAAAACAAGTCAAAGCTGAATATTTCTGTAAACAGAATGCATGTTTTACATATTGAAGCATCTTCAGCTAATTAATGATTTAATATTTTAGGAAAAGAACGTTTTGATAAAAAAAAAGAATAATGTATTCTGAACTATAAAATGCAAACAAAGAAGTAAGAAAACTGGACTCTTAGATATCTTCACAATGAATCAATAAATACTGCACAGGTCTTACTTGTTTTCATTGACCAACGAGAAACTAACTGTAAAACATACATCTGTGTCAATATCCTTTATAAAGGAAGTAGAAAATTCAAGAAAAAAAAACTGTCGACAATTCGCGATTACTCTGCAGAAGGTAGAGATAACCTTAATTTCTGTGTGTGTGTGTGTTAATGTCCATAACTCTACTTTCCACACTGTTTTAGACATAGTTAACGCGAGTTTCCCTAAACAAATTAAAATATGTGAATACCTTCAGTATTAGGACGATACTGTAAGACTAACATTTCTATTGTGTGATAAAATGTAAATTGCTACACAACAAAGTAAATAATATTTAATTAGAAATTTGTTTATGAGTAAGTATGTTGTGTATATGACCTATTGAAAACAGCAGAGCTACACGGCATTGTAACAATAATCTAATGTGTTGTAAAAGTATAAACAATATTGGAAAGCTTTTATTCTTATGTGAAAATAGTAATATACAATTGTTTTGTTTTTTTACCTGGATTATGCCACAGAGAAAAGTTATCGCTACGGCGACCTCTACAGCCGTTACTACATTAGTTGAACTTGTGTTGACTTCGGACACTTCAGTGAGGTTCAGACCATCTGTGAGGTTGCTTATGACAGTGGCGACAATTTTAGCGTCGGGAGTAGCGAGTCGTCCAACCACAGAAGCGGTCATTAAAGACAGGACAGCAAAGGTACCTGTATGTATGAATCGTACAGTTAACCTAACGTAGATGGCGTTTCTGTGGTTATCAGGACAAGCCTAATTAAAGATATTTAAATGTAGTATATTCGAAGACATTTGCATAAATTAAAAACATCGATTTATTTGTTTTTAATCTCGAAATTTAGGAAAACTGAGAATAATCTAACTTATTTTTGCAACATTCAACATGTTCATGCTTTTAAGGTATTACAAAATAATCATTTTACAAAAGGAATTGCTTATGAAAAACTAAGTTATCAAAAATAACCATACGGAAAAGCAGTCTCAAGCTCCACTCTCTCGAATGTTGTCTTGTATTGGGTTGAAATTACGTGTGAATCGAGAAAAAATAAACATTTTCATGCGGAAAAAATACAAATTTTAAATCGTAACTTATAACAGCTTATACCTTATAACTTCTGACAGCGATGATTATTGCTTAAGACCAACTTTCCTTTTATGATTTACAGCCCTTGGAGTCTTTAAGAAATAATGATGAACTGTGTATATGAAAGTAAATGTTAAACTCTTCCCGGGCTAACATTATTAACTCAGCTACGAGGAACTTTTATGATTTACAGCCCTTGGAATCTTTAAGAAATAATGATGAACTGTGTATATGAAAGTAAATGTTAAAATCTTCTCGTGCTAACATTATTAACTCAGCTACGAGGAACTTACCAACAGATAACTGCATAGACGTCCCCATAAAACTGTACAACAGCACAGGAAAGAACGACGTATATAACCCATAGATAGGTGGAACACCAGCTAACAGGGAGAAGGCCATACCTACAAGTATGTTGCAGAGTTAAAACCAAGATTATTTTTTTAAACAAATTACTACCTATATCGCATGTACAACAATCCATCCATAAACATGATCCACACGCTCTTCGTACACATACATGTTGGATTTTCGTTCTGAAAGTTAAACTAAAAGACACGTTAACTATGATAGTACAGTTTGCAAATATCTGAAACATTAATAAGAGAATGTTGAAGTTTATTATCAACATCTTGTGTTTCATTTATTTGTTCTTCCTGATAACACTAACATATAGGTATAAGAAAACAGTGGGTGCTACTATAGCGTGCGGTCTACATGGATACTATCATCATCACCATTTTAATGATTCACCACAACATAATTTCTTGCTAAATAATCTGTATCTATCCACGTTTTTCTTCAGCAAATAATAATAATTTAATAAGTTGTGTGTTCCAAAAGAGTACTTTAAATTTAGGTTATAATTATGCTAGTTTTTATTGTTGGGATTTATTTTATTCCGATTATATTTGCTCCCAAAATGTTATATAATGGTATTTTGTAATTTATTAGTTTAAAAGCATTATTTATAATAACTGGTGCCAATTGCAAATAAACTAAAGTTAAAACGGTGAGGATTGTAGTATCTGTGTAGACCGCACGCTATAGTAGCACCAAATATTGTATAAAAATAAAAACATTGCATTCTTCAGCTTCATTATACATTTGATATCGAATACCTTACCTTGTGGCACGTGAAGGATGGCACAAGTGCAACCTGATACGATATCGTAGACGAGATCTCGCTTTATGTCATAGTTACGTAACCACTTGACAATGGGAAATAATGACATCACCGACTTTCCGACTTTACCGACAGAGCACTGTCGGCTGCAACTCCCCCGTAGACACCTTTTTAATTTCTCCATGTAAGCACTGGGTCCTTCATCAGCCTCGTCCAGCCCCATAGTTGAGTCGTCAACATCAATGGCTTGGCAGTCAGCCATGGTCAGCACAGGTCGATCTAGCAGCACTCTTGGCTTATTGTCTTCTTCCATCACGGCACCGGAGATGCTCTGTATTGACGGCTGAATTTGAAAAAAAAAATCAATACCTGCACAGTAACACCGATTCTAACGCTCCTTTCTTAACTTGTATGCACCCCTTCGGAGCTCCTTTCTTAACGTATATGCACCCCTTCGGAGCTCCTTTCTTAACTTATATGCACCCCTTTGGATTTTCAAATACGTTTCCTTGAGATATTTATGCACAGATTGTTTGTGGGTCCGTGACCTTATTGGTTACAGGACCCCTAGTAATGTATGCGTCACCCACACAAATAAAATCAACATTGTAGTAAATTATATTAATTACTGCAGGGTTTTATTTATGTTTTTACTTTATTATAGCAGGAAAAAACATAAAATTACACAATATGGTGTGATTACGTCAGTATGTGGAGAAAACCGGGAGTGAACGGTATACAATGACATTAAAGATATCCAATCAGAAACTTTACTCAGCGACTGCCTTTAGATATAATAAATGTAAGTTTCATAACTAAGAAAGTGAAAGAAGTAATATGAGACGTTAGGTTACACAAAGATATGACATAATTTGGACGACAAAGTGACTAATGTGATCATTTATAACCTTGAAAATTACATATATAGCGAATAGTTTAGACAATTTGATAAAGTCGAACCTTGTGACGTTGAAGCTGCATAAAATTAAATGAACTTAAGTGAAACATTTTTAAAAATATATAAATTTTAACCTAATTATTTTGCATAAATTGCGGATTATTTTGTTATTCAATCTTAGATATATTGCGAATCCTGGTGTCTGCAGGAGCGTTCGTCTGTCTCCCGTTTGAAAAGCTGCGCACACGTAGGCAAAGCTCAATATTCAGTTTTAAAATGACGGAAGAATAAGTATGAATAATGTTGATGCCAAATTTGATTTCACAAGCAGGATATTTTACACTAAATTGTTAGGAATTAATCACGCCATCATTCACATTTCAAAATGTGACGTAACTTAAAGAATAAAAATGTAGATTGAGCGCATGTTATTTTTGAGCGGCTCTTAGCATGACTGAAATGTTCAACAATTACTTTTCATAGTGAGTGGTATAAGTAGCTCAGATCTTTGGCTCTGAATGAAACCAAGTGTGCAACACAATTAACCTTTTTTAAAGTCCATAAAATAATTTAAATTGATAGATTAACTTAAACTTTTCCCGTCACTGGGGACGGGTACTTTTGTTTCTTCTCCATAAGACATGATAGATCGTTTCTTCTAGTAGACTTGGGTATTTTTTATTCATGAAACATGATAAATCGTTTCATGAGGTAGATTGTTATTTTTAAATATCTAAATGTGAATATAAATTTACGTTTTTAAAATACAAACTGCTGCATTTTGCATCTCCTCTAATAAACTCCAAAATCTGACTTAATAAATAAATCATAGTTTAAAACTCAGTACACAAAGTGTTCAATATCGGGAGCTATTGAGGCTTTTGTAATATTCTCTACCAAATAAGACGGACAATTACTGAATTGCAAAAAAAAACATTTTTACTGAAATTCGTTTGTAAATAAATTTTGTTCGATGTATCATGGAACGTTATTCACGTGTTTTGATCATGGTATATTATTGTTTATACTAGCTGGATCACCCGTTCCCTGGACGGAAGTTATGTAATTCATGATTGATGAAAGGTTATCATAGGACATGACAAGCTGCTTCCCTTATATGTAATAGTAAAAATTGCAAAATAAAATGTGAAACCGCAAATTTTCAGATATCTTCGCATGAACCCAACAAACCTTCATGCCAAATTTAGTGAAGGTTCATCAACAGGGGGCGAAGTAGTGGTAAAAACCGTAAAACGCTCATAAAAACCGCAAAATGCAAAACTGAAAAATTTGTATGCATCTTCCCATAGACCCATATATATATATATATAATTCCTGCGGTCATAGCACCCAGATAAATGGACTATCTCTAATGCATCTGGGTGCTATAACCACAGGTATTATCCGTTATGACTTAAGAACAACAACAAGGGATGATAACGGAGACATAATTTTGAAATTGTATTATATTGTTTCAGTAAGAATTTCAATAATCGTTCAAGTTTGTTACTGTATCCCTACGAAAAACTACTGTTTGTTAAAGATCCGATATTCTGAAGTTAGTGTGTGATGGTTGTGTAAATCAGAGTATTATTATGCTTCGAAACAGACGTTATGTTAGTCGACAAGTTCAACCTCTAACTCTGTTTCTAAACGATATCTAGAGTTTTCTTTTTTCAACAGCAAGTTATATTTCTAAATATTATTGGGAGTCATCCTACTTCAACAAGGAGTCATTTTAGTTCAACAACCAGTTCTGTTTCTAAACAATATCAGGGGTAATTTTGTTTTCTTTTGTTTCTTCATAAATATTATAAGGTTTGTTTGTTTT